GGCCCTGGCTCTTGCTATTTCCTGACCCCAGGCCAGGACTGAATTTTCCACAGAAACTAAACACAAAGGAGAGGGAATCGCTGACCTTTTGCATTAAATAAGCACAGGGCCTCCAGTCCTGCACCCCTCATTCTTCCCTTGCCCGAGTGGAGAAAGATGAAGGCAGTCAGCCCCAGTTACCTCACCAAACCAGGATCTTAACAAATAGTCATGTGTCACAGAACTTTGTCTTTCTTCCCTGTTGTCCCAGCCCACCAGTGCCACACTACAGTCCCAAGTAAGCACTACAAGTGTTGCTGGCCTAATGGATGGGTTGTGGGGAGAGGATGGGACAGGGGCTGGAGGACGTGCCCCAGGGTCCATCATGGCACAGGCACTACACGCATGGTGTTGGTGAAGCCGGAGCCTGGACGCCACCCGGTCAGCACAATGACCACGTCTCCACTTTGAAAGCCTCGAGCTTTACCGACATTCATGGCCAGGTTCACCCGGAGGTCCACATCTTCAGCCCAGGCTGACTGCACTGCGTCCTTGCACAGCACAGGGAAGATGCCACGGTACAGGTGGGCCTGACGGGCAGTCTGGGGGTTCCGAGTCACAGCAATTATGGGGGCCCGGGGGCGGTACCTGGCTACCTGGTGAGCAGACCTACCAGACTTGGTGAGGACGATTATGGCCCCACTGCAGCACTTGAATGACGCCTCCACGGCGCCCATGGCAGCGGCTTCTGTGGGGTCGCTGGTAATGGGCGCCAGGCGGCAGAGCTCCTCAAACAATTGCAAGTGGTAGATGGCAGCCTCTGCCTCACGGGCAATCAGGTGCTGCATGCGCACAGCCTCCAGCGGGTAGTCGCCTTTGGCCGTCTCACCAGACAGCATGATGTAGTCAGTGCCATCCAGGACCGCACTGGCCACATCACTACCCTCAGCGCGGGTCCGGCGGGGCTTCTTAATCATGCTCTCCTGCATCTGCGTGGCACAAATGACAGGTTTTCCAGCTCGGTTGCATAGCCCAATCATCATCTTCTGAGCCAGGAAGACCTTCTCTGCGGGAATCTCAATGCCCAGATCACCGCGAGCCACCATGAGTCCATCGCTGGCCTCTAGGATCTCATCAAACCTTCGAACTCCCTCATGATTCTCGATCTTGTTGATAAACTTGATGTTCTTGCCTTTCTCTCCCAGGACTTTCCTGATTTCATGGACATGGGCTGCTTTCAAGTAAAAGATGCAAATACCGTAGCCACGTCCTGCTCTACCCCAAACTTCAGACCCTGGATGTCCTTTTCTGACACCGCAGGCAGATCCACAGCAGCGCCAGGGAGGTTCACGCCCTTCTTGCTGCCCAGTGAACCACCATTTTCCACCTCGGTCACTAGGAAGTCAGCCCCTTTCTCTTTCACTTGCAGAGAAATAAGTCCATCATCCACATAGATCTTGCTGCCCATTTCCACCACTTTGCAAATGTTCTTGTAGTCCAGCCACAGGACATTTTCATCACACTTGTCCATGTACGCATTATCCAGAGTGATCTTGAGGGTGGCTCCCTTCTTCAGCTCCACCTCGGTGGTGCCGCTGCCTTTGATGAGCCCAGTTCGAATCTCAGGTCCCTTAGTGTCCAGGGCCACAGCCACTGGCCGGTAGAGAATGGGGTCAGAAGCAAAGCTTTCTGTAGCTGTGCGTACATTCTTGATGGTCTCTGTATGGTACTCATGACTTCCATGAGAGAAGTTCATACGAGCCACATTCATTCCAGACTTAATCATTTCCTTCAACATTTCCACTGACCGGCAAGCTGGGCCAATGGATGATGCCAGTGTTCCGGGCTGTAATGGGTGCAGAGTCGATATCCAGGAGGCGCATGTGCTCCAGGAATGTGTCAGCCATGGCTGCGTGCAGCTGCTGGGTCTGAATGAAGGCAGAGCCCACTTCACTGTGTTGCTTCGACATGGCTTCTGTGGTTCTCCGCGTGGCTCGGCTCGCGCTCCGATGCTGCTGCAGGACAGTTCCCTAAACGCCATTCTATCCTGTGCCAACCTCGCTGTCTCAAACAGATTAATTCCCACCACTCCACTCACAGAATCAATCCATGTCATCGAGGGTCTTCCTCTCCTGCACTGTCCCTCCACTCTCCCAAACTTGATGTCCCTCTCCAAGGACCAGTCCCTCCTTGCAACATGCCCAAATTATGTCAGACGAAGCTTTAGACTTCTTGACTCCAGGGAACATTCTGGCTTCACCCTCTCCAGAACAAACCTGTTTGTTCTCCTAGTAGTCCATGGTATATTCAACACTCTTCTCCAGCACCACAGATTAAAGGCATCAGTTCTCTTCCCTATTCACTGTCCAACTCTCCGATGCAAAGCACATAATTGCAAAGACTATAGCCTGGATCAGGCGCACCTTAGTCTCCAGTCTGACATTGTTGCTATACAGTACTCTTTAGAGGTCCCTCACAGTTGACTTTCCCAATGCAATTCATCTCCTGATTTCCTGGCTTCTGTTACCAAGAGTGTTGACTGTGGAACCAAGTAAACTAAAACTGTTAACTATCTCAATCTCTTCACCATCCATACTGATGCTGTCAATTGGCCCAGTGGTGAGAATCTTTGTTTTTTTGATGTAACTCTTGCTTCAGGGAGAGTCTGCCTTATAATTGGCCTAGAAGCATAGGGCATGGCCAGACTGCAAGGGGAAGCAACAAACAGATAGTCTTTCTTCAAGTGTTAGGTTATCTATAAATGTGAAAAAGTACAA